TCATGGTAATAACCTTTCAGTGCACAACACAAACCGTCTGTCCAGTATCATTAAAACAGCAAGTACAATAATCAGCACTCAGAGGCTTTCATTGTCAGATATCTGAAACAGACAAATTGTGAGGAGAGCAAAGTCGATCTTGGCCAGCTCTGACCGTCGTCCTCTCTTGGAGGACTTTGTTCTTCTCCCCTCTGGTCGGAGGTTCAGGCTGCCCAGGGGGAAGACCAACAGGAACAGTACTGTCTCCTGTTCTTCGTTAAACCTTAACTGCACTTTTCAAGCAGTGTAACAGAGTTAGAATTAACCTCTATGTTGAATTTCTGCTAAATTGATGTGGCTGTCACATTTATGTTAGTTTGTCGCCGCCTGGTGGTTTAATAGCGCAACTGTGGAAGGGCTCTTGGCTGGCCAGCCTTGCAGAGGAAATCTCTCCTGGGCTGAAGGTGGGTGCATGTGTGTCGTGCTACAACCAACATGTCTTTCTTTAATGCTTCAAATCCAGAAACTTTAAGTGACCATGCATTAATGGACTGTTTGAGCACACATTTACTGAAAAGTAGAGCAGGCAAAAGATTGAAAGGATGGACTGATGTCATCATTGGGGGGTTTGGAGACAGACTACAGAAACATATTGACCTCTGTGGCACTTTTAAAAAGCAGCTAAAGACCTATCTGTTCAGACTTGCCTTTGTTTGATCTGTCTGTATTTGATTTTATGTGACTGTTTGTACTCTGTTTTTGTTTTATTGTGAAGCACTTTGTGATGTCTGCTCTTGAAAGGTGCTATATAAATAAACTTTTACTTACTTACTGACTTATATATTAGTTTTAGAGAAAGATGTTGAAGTGTGATGTGTATAATATGAGAACTTTAAAGATAAGCTGAGTGATTTATGGAAAATCTGGGGCCTCTTTTGTACACCTCCTTCAAAGTGAAGTTGTGTATCAGAACCCAAATGTATAATCTCTCTCCTCGATTGCCTCCTTACATTCATATTTATTATTTTATTTTTCACTCTACATAAAATAATGTAGTGAATGTGTTTTATGTGTTTGTACTGAAAATGTCGGCTCTTATAACCACGCTCTACAAATGAATGACACAGCGTGCTCTTACTGCACTATTGTTGAAATACTTGCTGCACTTTGTATATTTTATGACTTGTATGGTATAGCGCCTACTTTTTCCTTTTCTTCATTCATGATGAGACATATGGGGTGGAGGGGAGGGGGGGGGGATGTAGGCTATATGTAACAGGTTTATATAGACAGCTTATGAATTTCACCAAAACACAAATTTTTAATTTGATATCTTGTTTTGCGTTTTTCTTTATCCACCTGCCTGTTTATTTCGGAGAGTCGGTGTGTGTGTGTGTGTGTGTGTGTGTGTGTGTGTGTGTGTGTGTGTGTGTTTGTGTGTAAGGTCCATAGACGGTAAATATTACTGGACGAACCCTGAGTGACGTCACCCGTCTGTTACGGAGGCATCAAATGAGTCTAATCGATGGGCGCATCCATATTGGAATTGCTGTCTCAGTGGGGTCTCAACCTAACTTCGGATCAACCTAGCAACAGCATTAAGGCGGGACCGGGCGGGACTTAACTCCGCCCATTCAGCTCGACGTTCCATTTCACATCAAAGCTAACGGCTAGGCTGCTATCATCCCCGACTGCTTTCCTGCTCGTCTGGAGTTATCTCTATAAACAATAAGTTAACATTTAACTTTTCTACAACACAGTTAAAACAATTATCTTCAACCCAAAGATTTAATTAAAGTCTTAAGTCCATTTTTAAATATACAATTATGGTTATTAGTTATTTGTCAGAGCAGTTACTAGACTTTGTCAGGGTTAGCAGAGCAATACATTGGCAAAGTTTCATCATAAAATGTAAGAAACATTTTGAGGCTAATCTTTACATTTAAATTCTAACATTGTGTTACAAATCATTACTTGGGTGTAATTACATGTTTAAGGATAAAAAGAATCCTGAGCCTCAACAACATCTGCATTTGTTGGTTCTTCTGGGGTGGACTTCGGTTGCTTCCCTTCTTCAACAACTCGCTGTGAGGGAGGTCTCCCCCGGATGGCCTGAGCGATGACACCCACATGTTCCTGCATCGATGGCGGTCTCCATGCTTGAAATGCTGTCTCACCCTTACCTTCAGTCAACCTAACGACAGGCTGAGAGCTGGAGCTGAGGCGGGTTTTAAACCTCCTGACAAACCGTTACACCGCGCCCACCTGTCAATCAGGTCAGCTACACGCCTTATTGTGAATAACTCTTATCCTTCATCAAATCAAAACTGATGAGTCATCAAAACATTCACCCCCCGTACAGTGTGTGTCCATCGAGACATGAGCTATCAGACCTATATGTGTTTTTGTACCAGGTACATCTCTGATGTAAAAACAGACTTTTTGAATGTAGTTTTTCAGATTAAAGAAATATTTCTATATAAATGCACTCCTTTGTTTTAAGAATAATACTAATAATTATCAGTGGTTATAAAAGAAACATAACTATTTCTGAAACTATTTCTGCCCAGACCAAAGCTCTTACTTGGGGTAACTCCTGGTGATCGTTGCAAAGTTGGTTAGATCGTCACTCTGTTGAATGTTAAATCAACAGATTCAGGCAGGTTTCCTTCGTGGCAGATGTAGGAGGAGGGTAGCAGGATTCAGATCTTCGACCAGAGCACTGCTCTAGGGTCTACTGGTTGCAGGAGCCGAGTTCTTTATGTGTCCTTGTGGATTCAGGGATCAGTGGGCTTCCTTCAGCGCTCCTGTCCAGTTGCGTTCAATGACGTCTTATGAAAAATCAAAGGAAAGAAACTCTTCTTTTTGCTCGAACCTGATAGCATCTGATTGCGCCCAAAACTCCTAAAAATATGCCGTGGAAGTAGTCAGCTGAATCCTCTGATGCTTGAATTCAGCATATGAAGAGCTACGCTGAATAGACTAGACTGAACAACCTCAGCTCTGGAGTTTACCTATGTAAGCCAAGAGGAGGAAAGGCTTTGTCTCGAATGCTGGAGTCCATCTTGTTGGAGAGTGTGTCCTCTGATGTCGGCAGACAACACTTGAAGAGGAGGAAGCAATGCCTGGCGATTATTTATTTATTTTCTAAGACTGGAGCTGCCTGTGGGTTTACCTCAGGCCTCCTCCAATGAGGGTAGAGAATTAAGATTATTGCTTTATATCTTATTTTCATTCCATATGTTATTTATATATTTTATATTTCTACTGCAATATGCTGTGTAAGAGCATCTGTAACGATGAAGAACTATATTAATAACCATATTAATTTTCCCTGAACTCATACAAAGAGACAAAAAAAATTTATTTGGTAACCTTTGCACAAATATAATTTTTCTGTTCAAGCTTCAACATATAGCTGATCTATGGCTGTCACCATCTTTAGTTTTGTACTTGTTATCGCCTGTTTATGTTATAATAATAATGACAGAAAATGTTGAAGTTTGAGTTTGTGGGCCGTTGAAATGAACGCCAACCATGTAACGTTAATATCAGCTATAGCCTGTTTAACCAGCAGGTATCGTCTGATTAATGTTGAACTTTATACACAAAGTTTGTTTTTTAATGTCCACATTTACGTGGAGTATAACATTCGTCATAATGTCAGATAACCATATTTACAGTCTGCGGTTAACCACCGGGCTGGAACTTTAGTTTTTAATATCACACAAACTCTGTCTTACAACTTCTTGCCAACTAAAATTTCTAACACTTCAGACTTACATTTTCCCCCAGTTTAATAGTCCTGGCTAGCTATGTTGCCATTAGCTTCTTTGGCATGAATGGAAGTCTTGATCGGCTAAACCATTGACTGTAAATAATGGGCTACACTGAGTACAGTTAGCCAACTGGTTTACAAGCTAACGCTAAACAAGCTAGGTCCGTAAATATACCGACACATGAGTAAGCAGTAAATATAACACTACTATATCACTTACCGAAAAAAAACCTGAAGCATCAACTTGTTGGATGGTCTGTTAACCGCACAGCAAGCCATGTATGTTGTCAGATATGTGTTAAACAAACTCTCCAAACGAAGTAAAAAGAGGAGAAATCAGACGGATCAAGCTGTTAGCCTGCTGACCTGCTGACCTCCTGACCTGCTGACTGACTGACTGACCTGACTGACTGACCTGCTGACCTGACAGACAGATGCAGTGCGCAGAGCTGTCAATCAAATCTGCCACAACCCTTATATGTGCATAGCCGTTTTACTTAATAAAATAAAATCTGTTGAGTTTTTTACAAAATTCACCCCAATTACTGACGTTTTTTAATGTAATGTTTGTCAGCTGTGTTTTCTACATGTAACTATTCAAGCTGCTCATGTGGATTTATATGCTTCATATTAATGCAGATGTTACAACATTTTTCTGTGAAGAAAATTGTCTAAAAAAAGTGTTTTCTGTCTTTAAATTATTATTAATTTGCTGTCTTAGACCTCTAACACACACACACAGACTCAACTTCTCTTTAATAATTTCTTAAAAAGGAATAAAGTTTCAATCGTTGAATTACAATCAATATTTTGAGTGTTCCCTCCAAGAATCATCAGCTTAAGGTGGTGGAGGGGTTTAAGTGTCGCTGTGAGCTGCTGTTCCTCCTCTAATAAATCTTCAAACGGTTAAAGTGTTCAATAACTGACATGTGATGTTCATCAGGTGGTTAACCTTCAATAATGAACCCGTGTTCTCCAGAGCTCGTTGGATCTCTGAATCAAACTCTTTCCCTTCAGGACATTTCTTTTCTCCTGTCCGACCTGATGGACGAGTCAGAGACGACACTGATCGACTTGATTTCACATGTCGCAGGTTCAGACTGGAGTTAAAGAAACACCTGAATTAATAAGAATAACTTTATTATTAATCACAGAGACAAACTCATTCTGTCAGGAGAAAGAGTCGTCCATGATGACATTTACAAGCATCAATAAAACACACAACACGAGTTATAAAGACGGATTCAGATCAAGTGTAGAAATACTTTATTGATGAGTGATTACAGGTGACAGAGGATTCACACTAACAAGATATTTTGACTCTTTATTTTGAACTCTTTGTTGTTTTCAAAGAACATAAAGCATTCTTAGTTTGGATTCTTCAGAGGACGTTTCATCCACTGAAGATGAAGATGGTAAAGAAACATGAACAAAAGCTTTGACAAAGACAGTCTTCAGGTCTGATATTTGACATTTCAAACATGATAACAAATCTACGGAGCCATACCTTTGTAGAATGAAGCTCCAGAATGACTCAAACTTTAAAAAACAGGATTAATGTTGAGTTATTTGGAGCCCCCGAAGAATAAGTAAGGAAAAATAAAAAACTGCTCTCTCTCTCTCTCTCTCTCTCTCTCTCTCTCTCTCTCTCTCTCTCTCTCTCTCTCTCTCTCTCTCTCTCTCTCTCTCTCTCTCTCTCTCTCTCTCTCTCTCTCTCTCTCTCTCTTGTGCGATAGTCATCAAACTGTCCTAACCCCTCTTAAACAAGAACAACAATAAACCAAACAAACATCAAAGATAAGATCACTGTAAGACCATTTGTCACAGAAAATTAATCACAATCTGGATCATTTTGTTTAAAAGTTCACAGTTTGCCATTCTTACAAGTTCATAAACAAAATAATGCCGTACTAAATTATATATCACTTTTACATATTGGCTACTTGTAAACAGAAACTTTGCAGGGCTGGAATAGTGCAGAGTCAACTGTCCAGTCCACATGTTTATAAAATATTCAATGAATGCATTCATTATTGTGCATAAGACACAAAAAGGACAAAAAGACGAGATAAGAATCATAAAGTTCTGCAGAAACAAAACAAAAAATGGTGAATAAAAACTGACCAGAATGCAGGAAAAGAAATGAAAGCTGCTTAAAATGTTTACTTTTGAATGTAATGGATGCTCTGTTTGGATAACCACACGTGGTTCGGGCTGCACGTGATCTACAGATCATTCACTTTACATACAGGAAGTGAATGTGTGTGTGAGTTTGTGTTGGTTGGGTGTTTAGCTTCTGTTGAATTTGAAGGTATCATTTGGCCATGAATCTTGCATGTCCCAAAATGCCTTGAATACGATATATTAACAGAAAGAATTCTGGACCTCACTATTTTCTAAACCCTGGTTACAGCCCTGACTACACCAACAAGATTAAAGATGGAACTACGATTTAGTAAGAAGAGGAAAACGTGATGATCTGAAGTTATTATTCTACAACTGTAGAGTGATTTCAGATCAGATAATAATCATTACTGTTTTATTCTCTCCATGCAGGATAATAACTCATAATGCACACAAAGATGCAGATGATGCCTTCAGGGACTCCTCAGAGTTCAAGTGACAAAGTCTGAAATCAAACGTTGACAGCAGCTGAAGCAACAGATGACAGTTAACCAGTTAACACGCTGAGCAGATTATCTTTAAATAGACTCCAACAAACCAACCAATCAGGATCAAGATTTTACCTGCTGTGGAAATACTCAAAGTTATAACGAATGATTCAACAAAACAACATCACCATCACCATGACAACGCAGTCACACAACCCTAAGAGAATCAGAGACGAAGATTCAGAACATCATCATCATCATGTATTAGTGTTCCACAGTCACAGAGATCTTCTCTGGTAAAATCTTTAGTGGGAGTTTATCCACAGTTCCAATGTATGGAAACATCCTCTCAGTGAAAGTGTGTGTGAAGGTGTGTATGTGTGTGTTAGTATCAGGATCAGAGAACGACAGCTCTCCTCTGTTACAGTCCAGATTAAATCTGATCCTCTGAGGCTTCTTCTTCACTGAGAGATCAGTGACTGGATGTGATGAGGAGTGTGCTCTGTATTTACCATCATAGAACCATACAAACCAAAATCCAGACAGTTTGTCTCCCTTCCTCTTCACAGACTCTGCAAACACACCCAGTCTCCAGTATGTACTGTCTCCAACCTGGACGTCCCAGCTGTGAGTCCCTGAGTTAAAGCCCTCAGAGCCCAGGACAGACCTGTAAGAATCAATCCTCTCTGGATTATCAGGAAGCTGCTGTCTCTCTCCTCCTCTCACACAGGTCAGATCTTCAGACAGGATGAGTTCTGGATGAGCAGTGTTTGGGTCCAGAATGACCGGACTGTAGGAGACCATGTCCTTCATCTTGTTCCAGATGTTGAAGCTCAGGTTACCCAGGTGTTTGGCCTGGTCTATCAGAGCTCCTGAGGGCAGCTGTGGATCCTCCAGCAGGGGGCGCTGCTGGACTCTTTCCACTGCAGCCTTGTAGTTTTTCAGGAATGAGACGTCTTCAGCTCTCAGCTCGTCCTCTGTGTCTCTGACTGTGTGTGAAAGAGCTGCTATCTCTCTGCTCAGAGCCTCCATCTCCTCCTTCATCCTCAGACTCTTCTGCTCCTCTTCCTCCCTCAGTGCACACAGCCTGGCCTCCTCTTCCTCTTCTAGAAACTGGTGAAGCTTCTTAAACTGCTCCTTAATCTGCCTCTCTGTGTGTCGGGCCTGGACCTGAATGTGTTCTGCTGTTTGATCAAACTCCACTTTAACTTCTTTAAAAACATTTAACTTCTTCTTTACCGGCTCCAGAGTTTCCTGAAGTTTCTTCTTGTGTTGTTCAGCAGCTTCATCGATGGGTCTGAATCTGTGCTCAGAGTGTTTTTCTGAATCTCTGCAGACGACACACACCGGCTCCTGATGGTCCAGACAGAAGAGTTTGAGTTTCTCAGAGTGCAGACTGCAGAGATCCTCTGAAGCTCTCTGATCTCTCTCCTGCACAAAACTCTCACACAGGTTCTTTAAAGCAAAGTTAGGAGGTAACCAATCCTTTGAATGTCTCCTCTTACAGAGTGGACACTCCTTATTCTCCTTCTCCTTCCAGCAGTTCTGCAGACAGTCTTTACAGAAGCTGTGGAGGCAGGACAGGGTGACTGGATCTTTAAAGATCTCAAGGCAGATCGGACAGCTCAGACCTTCCTCTAACTTGGACGCCATTTTATCTCAGAGTCAAGCAGAAAAAACAGGAATCCACTCCCCGTCCCTCAGAGTTACTTTCACTTTGATTGTTTTTCTTTGAAACTCACGTTCAGTTTGTGGATTCAGCAGCAGGTTGAAGTGTTGGTATTCCCAGTATCCCAGTATAACAAGTACTCCCAGTATCCCCTCCTCCTCCTGTCCTCTCTCAGTGGAAGTCGTGCTGGTTTGTGTCTGCAGGTCGGTCCGTCTGTCAGTGTGTGTGTCTCTTCAGAGTGAGGCAGAATAACAGCCTGTTTCCTGGTTTGTCTCAGGTGAGACAGGTGAGGGGGCGGAGCTTCTTCAGAGCAGGAACACAGAAAACAGTCTAGTTTCTCTTCCTGCAGCTTGAAGTGAAATCTCTAAGACAATCTTCTTGTTATTAGTTCCACTACATCGCTGTCCAAAACTCTTTAAACCACATTAGCAAAGATACAACACAACAATACGGGCAAATACATTTAAATGAGATATGGTGAAAGTCAAGCTGTAACTTTTATGTTGAGATAGTGTATTATAAAATGTGTGAATGTGTGTGTGGCAGTGTGATGCATCGAAGAGAGGAGCTGAGTGGGAAGCAAAGAGAAAACAAACTAAAACTAAAAAAATAAGTCAATATACAGTTTATATAAATATTAATGGAAAGAAAATGTATACAAATAATAATAAAATAAAAGGTATAGTGATGAGGCCTCGTGTCCACCTAGTGTTTTTCTCCAGGAAGAAAAAAGAGCTGGCTGTGCTCACGGGATCGCTCGCATGCTGCACATCCAT